GTGTGTGTGTGTGTGTGTGTGTGTGTGTGTGTGTGTGTGTGTGTGTGTGTGTGTGTGTGTGCAAGTGATCGAAATCTCATTGAATTTATTTGCATTTAACAATAAAAAAGACAGAACTGTGTGGCAAAATAAACAAACTTATTCAGGGTTGGTTCCATTTGTTTAAAAGGCTGCGTTAAAAAAGAAAGGAAGATAAAAGAGATGTTTTTAGAGTCCAACTTGATTTGCTGTGTTTATTAACAGGGTGGGCCCCAGAGTGTGCGGAGGTTAGCTCCTTTGTGAAGACTGGAACAGTACTTGGATTAAAAAAAACAAAACATTCTAGTCGTTCATTCGGTTTTGCAGCTTTAAGTAGTGCTTATTTACACCAGGAGTGCAATCTAATAACAATTTGGGGTTATGCGTGAACAGCTTTGATCTGTGGAAGTAGTGTTCAGCAAAAAGATTGACAATTAACATCTTACCTGTGGTAGATAGCTCTTTGAATGAGCAAAGTTTGTGTTTTATTCTAATCAGATTGATGAGCTAATGGCTAATCCTTCAGCTCCAATAAAAAAAAAACGCATAATGGTTCATGCAATTTCCTAACTTTTACTTTACTGTCAGTTTTGCTTTARGTGGTTACTCCAGTAAAAGCTAAAGGTGCTTCAGAAGTTTCTGTACCAGAAGTGACACAGCTGCTGCTGCTGCTATTGAGCATCTAAACCAGGGTTGTCAAACTCAGGTCCTTGAGAATCGATCCTGCATGTTGTTTTTTTGTTTGTTTCTCTGCTTCAACACACCTGATTCAGTGATTCAATTACCTCTTCAGGTACTGTAGAAGCTTGTTAATTATCAATTCATGCAAATCAGGTTTGTTTGAGCGACAAGAAAACATGCTGGATAAGCAGCCCTCTAGGACCAGAGCTCGACACCTGTGCTACAGCAGGGGTTTTCAACCCTGCTCCTCGTGACTCTCTGCCCTGCATGTTTTAGCTGCTTCCCTGCTTCAACACACCTGACTGAAATGACAGGCGTCTGCTGAACTCGATAACATTCTGAGTAGTTTATTTGTTTGAATCAGGTGTTTTTGAAGCAGGGAAACCTCTGAAACATGCAGGATAATGGGTCACAAGGAACAGGGTTATAGACCTCTGGTGTTTGTATAAACAGCTGGGAATTTGTTTGAAGTTGGTTGTCACTTTGTCTGTTAGSAAGACATCTTGTGAACCGGTGGARGGTTTTTATTGAAACTCTTAAAGTAAAGAGTAATCCACTTTAGTTTTGACACCCCGCTCAGACTAGCCAGTAGCTCGTTAGTCTAGTCCGAGTAAAACTCTATCTCCAAACCGAGCCATCTACAACAGGTAAGATAGTATGTGTCCATAAACTTTTTGCAGAACTTCACTTTAAAAGATTTGAACTTTCACTGTAAAAAGTATTTATGGTGGTAGTGAATCTTTWGCTTTAAGAGTTTAATCAAGTTAAAATACATTTTAAAAAAATCATTCCTGCCTATTAAAATTTTTGTTTTCTAGTTTTTGCAAAACGTTTATTCTGTTCAAGAGACATGAGACAATGACTGTCTCATAGGGTTAGGTCTCATTTTAAAAATAGCTCCAGTTCATTAAAACATACAAAAGAAAATCTGTTGATAATAAAACAAGTCATAAATGAAATAAAAAAGAAACAGAAGAATTTTTGTTTTTTATATGTGCCCCCTTTTTTCCTAAAAATTAAATTCAAGCAAAAATCAGTTTAAGCATCAGTTTATGTCAACACACCTGTATTATATGTATTATATACTATTTTTTTTTCAACAAACCAACCTTTACAATTTTCTTAAATACACAAAATTTTCCAGCAGTTTTAACATCGATCTGGAGATTGATTTTTTAAAATCAAATTTGCGTTGATATACCACACACAAATGCATTAACACACATTCATTGGAGGAGTCATGAAGTCTTTCATCACGCAYTCAACATTAGGAGTAATTGTTTGAAACAATGTCAGCTCTGGCCTTGAGCACGCTGGCTGATTAGCCGGAGGAATGTGTTTGTCGAAGGAAGCAAAGCCCCAAAAAGCTTGAGGCAGCTTTCTGATTAGTGATGACTCTGTGTGCGAACGAGGCGATCCTCTGGTTGTAATGTGGTGCAGAATGTGATAAATGTAACTCTCAGTGTTGCAGATGGCAACTCTCGGCATGACTGTCTTAAATTCTTGACTCAGATTGTGGCGTCCTGTTGGGGGAGAAGGAGGGGAGCGATGGGCTCAGATTAAATGAACTGGAATCATCACTGTGTGGTGAAGTTACACACTCTGCCTGACCTGAAATTCTTCGGGCCAGTTTGGCTGTTTGGTCCCCGTTGTTTCCCCTCATCCCACCCCCCACCCCCCTTCTCTCACTCTTCCATTCCCTCGACACACGCTCTCATTTTCCCTAATTTCATCCC